GAGTGGAGTGCCGCGCGTTCAGCCGCCGTTTGCTCGCGAGCAATTCTGTTCTGCCATTCACTCATTATTACTACTACGACTACTACTACGACTACTACTACGAGCGTGCGCCCGTCGTGACGCTGGGGCGAAGCGACAGGCGCGCGTTCCGTGCCTCTCTCGTACGGGTGAGTGACCGCAGCGCGTTCACCGAGGGCGAGGTCAACGCGGGAGATGTTGCGCCCGCGTACGTGGCGGTGGCGACGATGAGATCGGACGGACGGCGTCTCTCTTTCGCTCTCTCTTTCTCTCTCAAGCTGTCACCATCCGGAGACCTCCCCCCACCCCCCACCCCCCCCATCAGCGAACGCTTTGTCTGTCTGTCTGGCTCCCTCTCCCTCTCTCTCTGGTATTGTGTAACGACGCATTCGAGAGGCTGCTCTGTCGATCTGCTCTCTTAAAGAAATGATCAGAGGCCGGTTTGTCAGTTCATTGTCTGCAGACCTCATCAGGCGATTACAGAATCAGAATATGTGTTGCTACTCGAGGAATCCGATGAGCTATGAAGCTATTTTCTTGTACACATGTCCAGTGTGGGCGGGTAGGAACATTACAAAAACAAACAATACAGACACAGGACAGTGGTGCACAGTACAAGAAAGGTAAACTAATCAGCCAGTCCGCCCGTCCAATGGAGGCCCCGTTAGACAGCCGTTCGTCCACCTGTCGCTCTGTCTGTGTTTGCTTTTTGCACAGTTACACAATGCAAGAGACGAGTCTGCCAATCTCCAATATATACACGCGCTGTGAAGAATGGCCAATGCGCCAGAATTGGCCCTGGAAGATGGCATCACAGAACTGCTTATTTCACCACAATACGGTCACACCTTTTAAGCGCACTGCCTAGAGTGTCCCTCGTATGCCAATCAAATGAAAATTATAAAATCTTACTCATGAAAATCCAATTATAATTTGTTGGGGTTTTTTTTTTGCCGTGTGTGCAGGCATTCGTGACTGAGCTGAGACCATCAGCTCGCTACCCCTTGAGGAGCCCGGGCGCGAACAAGCGCGGCTGAAAACCCGGCCTCGAACCCAGGTCCTCAGCTGTGTCAGCGCAAGTTTCCTGATGCCCGAGGTCACCCGTCTATACTGGCTCTAAAATCACAGCCGCCTCGGTTCAATTCCTGGTCACGCACATCACAAAGAGGCAAACGGTGTCTGATCTTGCTTGCAAAATTCCTTTTTTTTTGTCGACGAGCGTGTGGCTGAGTGTGACTGGGTGGCCTGGTAAGTTACTGAGTGGATGCTTTACTGGCTTGCTTCATGGAGGGAATTGCAAAGAGGCTGATATTTGCAAACATACACAGAGCTACTCTTTGGTTCTTTCGGTAAAGTCACGTAGAAAGAGAAAATAAGAAATAATAGTATACGACGTTTCGATTGCAACACAAGCAATCATCATCAGGTACAAATGAAAGAGAAAACAAAACCTAGTAAACTTAGCAATATAATGTAATACAACACAGACAGTCGGCTAACATAACAGTTAGCACCCTACCTGGTTGATTACGTTCTTCCAAAGATTGCTAAATTTAAGAGAGAGATTAAACACAGAACAGGAGACACATAGACAGACACGTAAGCAGACAGAGATAACACAGAGACACAGAGAGAGACAAACACATAGTCACACAGAAAAACGACGCCTCTGTGTCGAGGCCTTAAATAGAGAGAGGGGGGCAGATAGCTGTCAAGGTGCAGCCCTGCAATGCCTTGGCTCTCGCCACTGCTGGCGATAGGGCCTTAACGGGAGACAGATCTTGGAGAGCCCCACTCGAGGGTGTTTGTCGCCACACTGTTCGGGAGAGGTGTAGCTATTAACTCGCCACTGACGTTAGCCGTGTGGCCTAGACTCAAAATCTGGTCGCTGGGTTGGTGCTGCAGTGATCTAACCGTTGCGCCACTGCTCCCCCTCCTCCACCGACCCCCCCCCCCAACACACACACGTGCATGCACGCACGTATATGTATAACCTATTTAAATTACATCACGCACGCAATGGTTATTAAATACGCACATGGCAGCATTAAGAACGTGTGGCGACACGCAGGCAGGCAGAGAGGCATCGCGCAGACGCACAGAGAGTGAGACGGGCGGTAATGACGAGGTTTAGCCCGAGTGCTTTGCTCGCATGTGGCAGGCAAGGGCTGAAGCCGCGTATTTGCGCAACGCGGTGGAGACACAGGTTATTATTAGGGCACAATTACAGGTGAAAATCAGCGTGTAAGGGCGTGCGTGTATGTGCGTGGAGCGGTAGTGCGGTGGTTAGCGCGCTGCGCTACGAACCCGGCGACCCGAGTTCGATTCCCGCTCACGGCCAACACCTGATGACGATTATCTGAACCGGGTCTGGGCCTTCCCTAGGTCGACTCGGGAGACAAAGGTGACTGGTAGTGGTGCTGGCCACCCAACCCCTCGTGTGCTGTGCCGGCCTTCATAGGTGCTCGCGAATAGGACTTGCCCCTACATTATGTTTAGGCTATACGTGGGGGGTGGGTTAGAACATCAGTGGCGAATGCCTGAACCCTATCCTGGGCCTCCCCTAGGTCGACTCGGGAGACAAAGGTGACTGGTAATGGTTCTGGCCACCCAACCCCTCGTGTGCTGTGCCGGCCTTCATAGATGCTCGCGAATAGGACTTGCCCCTACATTATGTTTAGGCTATACGTTGGGGGTGGGAGAGAACATCAGTGGCGAATGCCTGAACCCTGTCCTGGGCCTCCCCTAGGTCGGCACAGCCTCGAACGAGTAAACCCGACGCCGTGTGTGAAAACGCCGGCGCGGGGGTGAAAGACAAAGACGGCGCGGCTCCGGCCCAAACCTTCCGCTGTTTCGACCTTTGTAAGCGCACCTCGCTCGCGATCCCTTGCCCCCCCGGCAGCTTGTGTCGGCTCTTTGCACGACCTGATTTACAACCGCAATCGTCGTCGCTGCCTTACGCAGGGAAACAGCTCGTAAAGCGGACCTCTCTCGTGTCCTGTCGACGCACACCGACGCTGTGTGTGGGATACGTTGGCTGTGCGGGTGTTTTTGGAACCTGAGCTGGCCGGGCGGTTTCAGGGGGGTCAGGGACAACCGGTTTGAATCCGAGTTTCAGCCGCCCGTGATGAAACGGGGTTCTTGAGTGGAGCGATTTAATGGTCTCAGCGCGGTCACCAATGACTGCACCCCAGCCCCCACTGCTGCCACCCCCACCCCCGCGTAATGTGAGGTTTTAAAACAGAATAATTTGTGAGCACGGCGCTTCGGGCTCCTGCCTGCGGAATTTCGGTGCCCCCTTCTCGGCTAATTGCTAGCGTTCTGTGTCGGGCCCTTGTCAGAATAAAAACAAAACTAAATTATAATTTGACTTTCCACCGAATTTGTATACATTAATTTGACTGAGAGAATAGAATAATAAAGAAACTAGTTTGACTGCCGCGCGAGAATCATTTCTCTGTGCCGGGGAGCGTGTGATGGGAAACCTCAACCCCATCGTGTGCGGATTAGAGCCGTCACTGGATGTGATCTCATGAGCAGCTCTGTGAGATCTCCTTCCGCGCAACGTGCTCCGCGACACCGACGGAGATTCTCTTCTTTCTGTGAGCGCTCCCAATGAATGGACTACATCTTCTTGGTTCTTTCGGTAAAGTCACGTAAAATGGAAACAATTAAAATAATAAACTAAAACATAATAAAATAATTCTCACGACGTTTCGGCCACAACGCTAGCAGACCAGGTCTCTCTCCCCGACAGACCTGGTCTTCACCTGATGACGGCTGCTTGCGTTGTGGCCGAAACGTCGTGAGAATTATTTTATTATGTTTTATTTTATCATTTTTATTGTTTCCATTCTACGTGACTTTACCGAAAGAACCAAGAAGGTGAATCCCTGCAGTCACGAAAGCTTTAAATCGAAATGGACTACATCTTCAATTAGACGGGATGAATCCCATGAGCCATCAAAGCTCTTTCTTCACAGACGTCCATACGCACGGCGCGTGTCCGGCCTTGCTGGCCCGGAAAATATTTCCGCGCCCGGCAGACCGCATCGACCAAGAGGCGCCTCGCTCACGACTGTCGCTACGAGCCGCGTGCCGTCCACTCCTCCAGCGTCGCGGACAACATTCAGCGAGAAATGCAACCCTTGGCGCAATGGATGGCGTACAAGCAGCCCCATCCGCCACCCCCCCCCCCCCCCCCATTCTTGTTTTTAGCGGAGGAGTGGTGGTGGTGGTGGGGGGCACGACACGACAAGGTCAATGTGTTAAGCAAACTTTAAACAAATGTTAGCCGCCCGAACAGAATGAGTGACGACGCGACCTGCGTTGTGCCTGTCGCGCGCATTCTGCTCGGGGAGCTCGCGCCTGTGTGTGTGCGTGTGCATGTGTGTGTGTATGTGTGTATGTATGTGTGTGTGCATGTGTGTGCATGTGTGTGTATGTGTGTATGTGTGTGCGTGTGTATGTGTGTGTGTGTGTATGTGTGTGTATATGTGTGTGTGTATATGTGTGTATGTGTGTGTGTATGTGTGTGTATGTGTGTGTGTATGTGTGTATGTATGTGTGTGTATGTATGCGTGTGTATGTGTGTATGTGTGTGCGTGTGTGTGTATGTGCGTGTGTGCGTGTGTGTGTATGTGTGTGTGTATGTGTGTGCATGTATGTGCGTATATGTGTGTATGTATGTGTGTATGTATGTGTGTGTGTATGTATGTGTGTGTATGTATGTGTGTGTGTATTTGTGTGTTTATGTTGGGCTTCTTTCGCACCGTACGTAGCCGACCGTGCTAATCGGCCGTGCGGGGGAAGGACGAGACTGCCAACAAAGCAGCTCTACGGGAATGGATGTGACGCGCATCGCTCGGTCGCGCCAACGCGTGTCGACTTGACTCCGAGAAATTTAAAGGGGGGCCCAGCAGCGAGGGAGGGGGGTGAGGAGGGCAAGAGGGGTGAGCCAGGTGAGCAGGCCGCGGACTCACCGATGCGTACAGCTTCCCCTTGTTACTCATGGCGATGAAGAGGCCGGCCTTGACCCCGTAGAGGCTCACGACCCCTCGCTCCACCGTGGCGATCTCCAGGAGACCTGCGGCCACGGCGTTACCGTCATGCACAGGGGGCAGGTTGGCGTGAGCTCGCGGGTCATCGTCATCATCATCGTCATCATCACCATCGTCGTCATCATCATCGTCGTCGTCGTCATCATCGTCATCATCGTCGTCATCATCGTCGTCGTCGTCATCGTCATCATCGTCATCGTCATCATCGTCATCTTCATCGTCGTCATCATCATCATCGTCTTCATCGTCGTCATCATCGTCATCATCGTCGTCATCATCTTCATCATCGTCGTCATCATCGTCGTCGTCGTCATCATCATAGTCATCATCATTGTCGTCATCATCATTGTCATCATCATCGTCGTCATCATCTTCATCATCATCGTCATCATCATTGTCGTCATCATCATTGTCGTCATCATCGTCATCATCATTAGTCATCATCGTCATCTTCATCATGGTCGTCGTCATCATCATCGTCATCATCATCGCAATCATTCCTGTCATTGTCTTGACACGTGGTCTGTCTCATCTAATTGTATATTCATAGAGCGTCTTCACTCAAGGCGCGTGACACGGAATGGGATGACGTAGTTGGCAAGGGGAGGGGCACGCTGCAAGGTGTTGAGGAGCGAGTGGCAGCAGCGCGAGAGGGGCGACTTGGGGATCACGAAAGGGCTAGAGGGGAGGGACGCGGAAGGAGTGGGAGGGGAGGGGGTAGATGAGGAAAATGGACAATCAATGTTGTAGGAGAAAACATTTGTTTAAAAAGTCTATTTAATTAAGTAGAACGTGTTGTCTATATTTATTTAAAGTTGCGCATTTTTATGTGACGTCACATTTCTTAAGCCCCCCCCCCCCCCCCCTTGTCACACATCGTCACAAATGTCTGACCTCCCCCCCCCCTAGGTGCGCGACGTCATTTATGGACGGCCCCTAAGCGAAGGTCTCCTGCCGGCCGCCATCCATCGCGGGCTCCGTGGCGCCACGGTCCATCTCGCTCCCTCCCCGCACTCACTCACGCTCACGGGGCCCAGGGCAAACCCCAATGGGGTTGAACTCGGCTATAAGATGATGAAATGTGGCCCCCTTTAAATGTGTCTCCCGATTAGCACGGTTGGCTACGTACGGCGCGAAAGAAGTTCAACAAACACAGCGAGTGAGCGGTGGGGGGGGGGGGGGAAATTCCACATTCCTATCGAGGGGACGAGTATATCCACAGGATGACCACTGACGACTTCCCACATCAGTGGAGCTCATTTGATAAACCCCGAGTGGGAGAATGGCCAGAGTCGACCGCCCCCCCACCCCCAATCAGTAGTCGAACTCGTGACCTTCCGAGTCTCAGAGACTCCCTCTCAGGAGGGCCCTGCAGCGCTGGGACGTTAGACCAGTTCCACTTGACGTCGTACGAAGCGTTCTCGAGCGGTAAGAAACCCGAGCGGAACGGCGGAAACGCCGCCCCTCTCCTCGCCCCCCAATACAGACGGCTTCACGATCCCGCTTGCCGTACCGCCACCTTCTCCTCGCCCCCAAATACAGACGGCTTCACGATCCCGCTTGCCGTACCGCCGCCCTCTCCTCGCCCCCCAATACAGACGGCTTCACGATCCCGCTTGCCGTACCGCCGCCCTCTCCTCGCCCCCCAATACAGACGGCTTCACGATCCCGCTTGCCGTACCGCCACCTTCTCCTCGCCCCCAAATACAGACGGCTTCACGATCCCGCTTGCCGTACCGCCGCCCTCTCCTCGCCCCCAATACAGACGGCTTCACGATCCCGCTTGCCGTACCGCCACCTTCTCCTCGCCATCTTGTCACCCCGAGCGGGTGATGGAGTTCCACACATTCAAAAAGAAACTCCGCCCGATCCGCCAACCCTCGCCTCCAAAAGCACCGGATCGCAGGCGTGCGTCGCCGCAACAGATTTAGTCACCGGAGCGAAATGTTACTGCAGAGAGATAGAAACTCCACCTCCTTATCATCATCATCATCACCATCATCATCACCACGAGCCATTATCAATCCACTGCTGGATGAAGGCCTCTGTCGCTATCTTTCACAACCCTGTGATGCAACAGTCCGCGCGAGCGCCTGCAAACGGGCCGCGCTCATTGCTCCATCTCCACAGCAGGCGGATCCCCTGGACGAGTTCCCTCCCTTAGCTACCGCTCCTTCTTTAGTCTTGCCCAACCGACCATCATCCCTGCCCAAGCCCACCCTTCTACACGATCAACCACCAAATTACGCCATTAACCCGCAGAGGTTCGCTGCTCCACGTGTCCCGCTCGCTCTTCCCCTCTCAGTGTCATTTTTCAGTTTAATTGATTAGGTATAGCCCTGTGAGCCATGCCGCTCTTGACTCGGGCGCAACCGCAACAAACAAAAACATGAACAAAGAACATCTTAAAGTGACTACGCGCAAACAGAAAAATCCGGGGAAAAAAACAGCAAAATCTTCATCCCAAGCGCGCGTCTCCCCGTGCTTCTGCGCGCACCGTAGGCCTCTTGCCTCGTCCTCTTCGTGGCCGGTGTCCACACGACTACGCGGCTCCGCGTGCCGTGGCGGGTTACACGCGCGCACTGGCCAAGATTACGCAGCGAAATATTCCGGTGAAGATCGGTGATGAACTGCACAGAGCAAGCGGTGTGGTGGGGGAAGAGGTGCTGCACAGGGCAGAGCTTGCTAGGGAATGGTTATCTGCCTCCCCCTCCCCCCCATTGCCTACCTGATACTACAACACCTGGTACTACAAGCACCCCCCCCCCCCCACGGTAGGTAGGTGAGTGGGTGGTGAGGACGATTCAGCCTCAAACGAATACCTGATGCGGTGTGTCAAACGTCGCCTCTGGGGAGACAAAGACGGCCGGGCGTAGTGTTGGCCACCCACCCCCCTCGTGCGCCTTGCCGGCCTTCATAGTTGCTACTCGCTAACAGCACTTGCAACAACAGTCTACCGAGGCTATACGGAGGATCATTGGTCTTTGGTTTGCTGGGCAAATCGGTAGGTGGGAATTTTGGTGAGTAGGCAGGTAGATGGATTGGTAGATAGGTGAGAAGATGGGCGGTTAGTTGGGTAGATATGTGGGTATCTTGGTGGCCGGGTGGCTATATTGGTAGGTATGTGGGTGGGCATGTGGGTGGGTGGATAGATGGGTAAGTGGGTAGGTGGATGGTTAGGTGGGTAGATCTGTCAGAGGGTTTAAAGGTCGGTATGTGGGTGGGTAGGTTGTCAGGTAGCCAGATGGTGGCAGGACATCAATTGATTCTTGACTGCATTTGTGCAGCTTTTGGTGTCAACCACGTTCACGATTTCCTCCCCCAACGAATCTAAAGTCTCAATAATCACACTGGTCAACACACTTTTTCTGGCATAAGGTATTCCAACGGGTTTAATGTAATTTTGGGGTGCTGATTCCAAATCTGGCATCAGTTTTTGTCTATCACATGAGGTCTTTGAGATATCAAATATTGCATTTTCAATAAAAACTGCGGAAGAAAAATATTTAAAAAATGTGGATATCTACATAAAATGATATTATAAACACACTATCCTAAAAATCTAGCACCATATTTTAACACTAAAGCAGTCACTGACTCGCAACAACTTGCAATCATAAGTGACAGAGTTAATTTCGGGTAAAATCAATGAAAATGGGGTATGCCGATAGCATAGAATGAGATGTGATAGAGCAAATCTGAGATCAGATTTGGAATCAGCACCCTGAAATTAGTCTAAAACAGCTGCAAAAGTCCAGCCCAGAAAATGATGTTTTTTTTTTGTTGACCAGTGTAATGGGATTCATGACCAAACATCCAAACTGAAGCAGAACCCTCCTAAAACGAGCTTCTCTTTGTTACATGAAGGGCATTCTAGTGCTATTGTTATTGGGATTACCAGGACATCGTTTGTTTCTGATCAGCGGTAGAGTGGAGTAGGTGTGACGTGTCAAGGCATGCACGGTCAGCACAGCAGGTGTGATGGATGTGGTGTGCCGCGTGCGGCAATAATATAATCGGGTCCGCCAAACCCGGACAGACCCAGCTGAAATTAAGCCCCTGCTTCTATGTAGTCCTGCAGACGCTCGCAAGAGCGAAACGTCGGACGTCGGGCGGCCCTCATCGTGAACAAGCCGAAGCCTCTCCCGGCTTCTCGCTTCCCCGCAAAACTCCCGGACCACGGAGAATCGTCGCACGGCCGTCGCGGCAAACCTCTGAAAAGGTGCGAAAAGAAGCGGTGGAGAAAATAACGCTTGGACTCAGGGGCCGTCCATAGGGGGTCCGGGGTCCGGGGCAAATCCCATCGTGTGCCCCCACCCCACCCCCATCGCCTTCAAACTAAACCGAAAGAGTTCCATCTGACACCGTGACGATGAAGCCCGCCCCCCCCACGCCCCCCCCCGCCCCCCCCGCCATATAGTGCGGGGCCCGGGGCGGTCGCCCCCAATCGTCGTACCCCAGGGACAGCGCTGCTTGGGCTTTACACCGGGAGCCAAATTGGGGAACGCGTGAACCGAGAGAATGGACGCAAGCTGCATGACGTCATTGAAATGGTCAGCGAGAAGTGGACCGAGAAGAGGAGGACACGTGGCGAGTAAGGGGTCGTGGCAGCTGGATAATGGATTACCACCACAAAGGAGATGGAGCGATGAAATCGGTTCATGTGCGGCAGGTGCTCGGTGGATTATTTATCTCGCGGTGTGGAAGATAAAAGGCGGTCCCACCTGCAGCCGCGGAGCGGACTAAACGGTGGGGCGCCGCGGGTGGTGAGATGTTAGCTACCTCGCTTGGTATGCAGGAGGTCGTGGGTTCGATCCCGACCCTGACGCCTGCTGCTGTCTATTTGGAGTTTGCGGCGTCTCTCTCTCCGTGGTCGCGTGAACTGTTCTCCGGCTCCTCCGGTTCCCCCCCCTCCACATTTAGAATCAAAATGCGTTGAGGGTAATTTGGTCTGCTATAAATGTCCACGTGATGACTAGCCACTTGGTTGAGCTCTCATTTGTCGCCAGGTCACTTGTTTAAAAGA